AATAATGTACACTACACGTAAAAATGTATCATATTGACATTGCATTCGTTGTGCGAGTTCTGTCGGATCATTATGTTGTACACCTTATGAGAATTTTAGAGGTACGCGTAGGTATGACGTCGAAGAGATGAGATGTGATGTATCGACGCTCGAGTCTCGCGAACCGGTCTGCCGTCTACGCAGCGGAAAACGATGCACTATAAGGCCCATTTCAATCGTACCCGGCGAACCGTTTAAACAGCACCGATTACCCTGTTTTACGAATATTTTACTTTCACACATAAAGCGGTTTAAACATAGTTTATAATGCAGTTCCACACCAATTTGAATTTGTTTAATCGCCGTCGGTGAATTTATCCAAAAACCACAATTATTTATAGATACCTAGAGTTTTGTGCCGAAGTACGGGTTTTGTCTCGACTAAAGATATAACACAAAATAAATTAATAAATTATTAAATAATGTCTAGAAAATATTTTTGAACTGGTCGTTGCTAAGGACAGATTTGATAAGACGGATCGACGGCGAATTCCGTATGATACGCGCGATTGCTTATCTGTTTCCGCTGTATATTTCGGTACCAGGTACACGGATCTGGCAGCCAACCGCTGCAATGGGAGTAGCCGGTGACAGCCCGGTTGCCGGTTACCGACTAACCAGGGCACCAAACTCTCATTCTACCATCACACCGACGACCGGGTAACCGATGCCGTTAAAACGGGCCTAACACGACAAAACGTTGCACGCCAATGTCTGAGCACTGCCCCGGTGCTGTCGCAGCGTCGGGGATGTTGTACAAAGGCGCAACTAGGGGTTTTATCACTTCTGAGTTCAAATGTAGCACTCCTGATTTTTTTTTCTTCAGATCTATGGTAATCAGAAGTTTCAGCAACCGCAATATTCGGGTTTTAGTTGAGCCCACGATGTTGCGTGGTCGGGAAACGGCGGCAGCGCAACGACAACCACGTTTGGTGCACCAGAGAGCGGAGAAAAACGTGTTGCACGTCGTGTACGGTCGCACGCGAGTCGCGTTGAAAATAATAATAACGAAAACGTTAGCCGTACCTAAATGTCGCGCCGGGGGTAACGTGCGATGTGCGCGATGTACACTCTCGACAATAACGTGTACACGCGAATCTTACGGGTGGAGGGAGGGTTGAAACGTGTGCACGTTGTGGGGTGACCGTGTAGCAGCAGCAGCAGCGGCGGCGGCGCACACAAATAGAGATGTTACCGTAAACATTTGAATCCGTGAAAAAAAGAGAGTCACAAAGCCGAACCGCTGCCTGTCATCTGCCGTGGGGCTCCCGCGAGCCGCGTTGCGCGCGCGCTCGCGCTTATAATACGGAGGCCAAAGCCGCGACCGCACGGACAGACGGGGGAAGTAGTTGGGCGGCGCAGGTGGAGGGAGGGCAGAACAGTCGGGAGAGAGAGAGAGAAAAAGAGAGTGAAAACCGTACACAATGTATAATAATCGCCGAACCGGCGGCATCCATTATTGTCATCGTTTATTGTTATCATTGTGTGATTATTATATTATCCCTATAGACATGTCTGAAATCACTGGTCGGCTCCGGCGGCGGCGGCACCAGCAGGCACCCATTGTGCCCCCCTGTTTTGTTGTTTTTTTTTTACGCGGACTGCAAGCCCCACAGTCATGTCGTCGCTAACAAAAACAACGCGCCGTTGTACCTATATATTCGTATACATAAATATACGTATACATTTGTATAACATATTTATATGTATAACAATAATATTACCTCGCGATGGGCATAACACTATATGAGGGAGGGGTTAAAGAATAAAACCTTGTACGAGCTTATACCGTGGTACGTATGACCTGCGTGACACCGCGTGTGTGTGTATGTGTATGTGTGCGAGTGTCTATACGATCGCATAACCGTCGGTTTTTACGATGAAAACATAAAAATCGGCCACCGAAATATGATTAATGGACCGAGGTGATGTTGCAGGAGCGGTGCACACGATTCATACCCGCGGAGAGTGGTCGAATACACGTGTTTCGGCGCGTTTCATATTTTTATTTTTCTCTTTTTTCTGCAAAGGGTACGCCGACAAATGGATGTCACAACGGCGGCGCAAGTAAACGCGTTTGTTGCTCAAATTATAATACACACGTCTGTATAACACTCCGGATGTGATTGTATAGCGCAACAATGCAATTACTATTATGTATTCCTGCGTTCGCACGTCATCGAATGATTATTATTTTAATCTCATTTTGGTAGTACATTGTCATTACGATCGCAGGTTTTTCCCCTGAGAAAATTTAGATCGTTTACAATCTTTGATTAATTTTACAAATGTGTAAAAAAAAAAATATATAACTGAAAGAACATTGGGTTCTTAACGGTTCTGATAACGAATAAAAATTATGTATTGAGTTGTACTGCTGAAGTGTTGATGCGTAGAACTTACGATTAGATATTATAAAATCGATCAAACTATTGTTTTCGAATATTTAATCGTTTGACACTAAATAGTTGAAAGAATATGTGTATTTCTTAGCCAAAAACACACTATAACGATATTGTACCATTAAAATATATTATTTTGTACTACTAAGATTGGTAAATTTATATTACATAACTAACACGTTGTACATCATGTACGTGCGTTAATGTCTTCCGCTTCATTAGTGTCCTCTTTGCCTGTTTTATTATAATGACAGAAAAGTGTATTATTATTTTAATCCGATAAATTAATACTATTATAATTATAGACCTCATTACACTGTTTTATATAGTTTTATAATATTTTTGTTCAGAAGCATTTTAAATATTTTATACATATTTGGTAATAATCAGGGATTATATTTCAAGTAGATCGTTTGCAAGCATAATATAAGTATATAGATGTATAAGTAAGTATAATATTATTTAAATTACTTCACAAAAAAAAAAAAATCTTAGGGTTTGAAGTCTGATAAACTCCGTGGTCATGGAATTATTCCATGAATACTAATCCATTGGTTAAGAAATATTTCGTTTAAATATTATCGAATATCGGCATTATGGGCTGGTAGAAATACATATTTTTCTACGTGACTAATGGAATATTTTCAAACAATAACAGTAATTGATTAACAAAAAAATCTAGATATCTTTTACCTGCTATGGCGTGGTGACCCGTGTTTGTCTGATGAATTGCGTCAGCCCTAAAAAAGTACAGTTGAGATGAGTTCCAAAACTAAGTACCAAAAACTTTCTACTTAACTTATAATACGTCTAAAAGTAACAACCACCAAATAGTACATATTTATAATTATACGATCACACTCGATCAATATTATACATTGCATAGAATTGTATTATTATACAGTGCATAAATAACAGTTTAAGGAAAGCGCATTAATCTTGTAAGGGATGGTTGGTTGTTTAGAGTGATTTTATATAATTGTGCCAGGGTCTGAGATTTTGTCATCATGACTCTGTCTAATTTTAAGTGTTCCATCAATAAAATAAAAATCTAAAAGTTATTTTCTTATTAACCAACACCGCAAATCTATACTGCAGACTGCCTGAAAATTCGTTTGACTAGCCCTAATTGGATTTTTGGTTTCCCAAAATTTAAGGTCTTGAATATTTATCGTACCATTATTTGTACATTTATATTAATTCATCCACAATATAATACTATTTTATATTGTTTTATAATATAAAATGTTGATTTCAAATTTATTACTAAGCTATGTCAAAAATTGTAATATCCGTTCATTATTTCCAATTTGTAAATGTTTGACACACTTAGATTTATACCAATGCGTTTAGATTTTTTCAAAATGTTATATACTGCACCAACTAATATACTAATTAGTCAAGATACATGACTTATTGATGAACGTGGATAAGTACGTATGTAAATCATAACCAGCGTTTTGATGTTTTCATCAAAATTATTTTGTTAATGTTACCGTTGTCTATTTTTATTGCTAGGAAATTTACCGTTTTCATTTAATTCACATAAAAGTCTAAAGAAATATTTATGACGTGGATGAACCGTATCTGGATACTGATATGCACAAACCCAAGATGTTTGTCGAGTACTACGATTACATTCATCAAAAATCAAAATAAGTTCGAATTTTTCACTGTTAATTTATTTTTATAATGCTTATAATACTCTAATTATCTTTTTCTATTAAATCTCAAATTATTTGAGTCACTTGTCGTAAAATAATTATATAGATCTAATAATTACATTATTATGGAAAAGCAATATGAATTTCGCTCTGGTTGTTCAACAACCACAGCTTAATTTTCATACTTCTGTTTCCAACGATTTTCAACATCATTCGCAGGTTGACGTTATTTACCCGGACTTTCATAAGGCTTTCGATACTGTGGATCATGTAGTCTTAATCAAAATTCTAAAAGAGTACTGTATAGATGAGCCTCTATTGGCGTGGTTCAGATCCTACCTAGAAAATAGACACAGATGGATAAAACTATCAAACTCTAAATCTAATGTGTTCCTTATTCCCTTTTGTGTACATTAAGATAGTCACCTGTCTCGATTATTATTTTATATTTTCATCAACAGTCTAAGTAAAGCGCTACATCATTGTAATTTTCTATATTTTGCTGATGATATCAAACTTTATACGCAAATTAATTCTATGGATGATTGTATTAAGCTACAATGTGATTTGGATAGTTTTGTTGCTTTTTTTCATAGAATAGAATAAAATCTCTGAATTTAGCTAAGTGTGAAGTCATGACCTTCAGTAGGATCTAATTCCCTCTAATATTCGCTTATCATATTCATGATATAATTTCTCACTGTGATGGATTCGTGCTGGACCTTGATTTTAAGCTTTCCAGCAATATAGACCCAGGTTTTCATATTGAGATGGTTGGCTGTAAATTCCTAAGAGTCTTGGGTATTACAATGAAACTGTTAAAGGATCTTAAGCTAACTACCTCATTTAAAGTATTATACTATCCATTAGTCCCGCCAATTAACGAGTATAGTACCGTAGTACAGGATCTCCATATTGTCGACAATGCTTGCTAGGTTGAAAGAGTGCCACTTAGGTTTTTGAGATTCACTAGCTACTTTCTGGACATTAATTGTGCACCACATGACTACACTGCAGTTGCTAACCAACTTGGGATAGCTTCATTAGCGGAGCACAGGCATAATATACCAGGTAGATGCACACTTCTTAAAACGATTGTTAGCTGGTATTGTAGATTCCCCGATCTTACTATCATTTATAAATTTTAGAGTTCCTCTTACGCAACTCTTGTTCCACAACTACTTTCCATGTCCATCTATTTACCACCAACTACTTGTCTAACGAGCCGTTAAGACATATGATGTTTACTGCCATTACGGACTTCAATTTTCTTATTTAACCGCTTTTATTATAATCAGAATTGTTATATTCGTATTCTGCATCAAAATGATCTGCTTTTGTTGTTGTATAATACCTTGATGTATTATCATTATGATTGTTATTTAATAATTTTTTTGTTGATCATTATTGAAATATATTTTCTAACCTGTTATTATTATTTGTCAACTGTCAAAAAGGCTCAGCCCGGGTATATTCTAAAATAAAAAATAAAATAAAAATTATCATATGACTATTTTATAAGCCACAGAAAATAATTTTGAAATTTATTTATAAAATAAATTTATAATGAATCAGATTTATAAACTTAATTATTGATGAATATAGCTGCATTTTTTATTTATTTATTTATTAAAATTAATGTCGATCGGCCTTTTATCATACAGCTATCTTTTATCGAAATTGTGTTAATTGAAATCTATTGAAATGCTGTTTTTTTTTATTTAACACATTTTTAATTATATTAACGCAATTGTATACTACGTACATTAAACTTATATTTATCAGTTATCACTAGGGCTCGGATTTCAATGCATTTGCATCTTTTTTTAGGATGTCTTACACGATGCTTTCCAAGCTACAAATTTGTTTCAGGTACTTCGTGTTGTACCCACAAACATTTTTTGACGTTTTTAATGCATTTTATTTATATTTTAGGACATTTTTGACCTATTTCTCGTATTATGACTAACTTTAGTTAATGTTGAGAGGTCATTTTCAGTATATAAAAACTTATTGGCAGACAACCGTCGATCATTCAAATTCCAAAACTTAAAAGAAATACTCATTGTACAGTGCAATTAAAATATGTAATTTTATTTTTAATTCAATTTTTGATTTTAATTTATTTTTATTTTTTGTAGTGTAATGTAAATAAAATTTCATTTTTTACTCATTTTTTAATAATAATTTGAATTTGTTTAATAAATGATGCATTTTTTGATATTTTTAGGGCATTTAAATCCGAGTCCTAGTTATCAAATATCAATCCAACGTTGTTATCGATAGTTAGGTACTTATATAAATGTTGTATAATAATATAGAGGAAAGTATAATAATATTTAACGATGTAACGATAAGATACACTTACCTATCATACTCTGTGAAGTTATATCTATATTAACGATTATATTTATAATTTAAATATATTTAATACATTAAATATTTTAGACGGGACTCAATTTGCCGCTTTAACTGTTATACGAAGGACTCAGTTTACCTCAGTTATATTTTCGATTTTCGAGTATAAGTTGGACGTAGTTAAAAAATGTTAACAGTATATCATTCATTTATATCAAACAAAAACATTCCAATATACTAATAACTTTGCAAATTAGTAAATAGAAAATAATGGTTTTTACAAAAATTGTTTTACAAAATATACTTTTAGGGAATCTATGAAAAAAATGTTGTTGCTTTTTAAACATTTTAAAAAAATTAGATTTTAATTTTTATTGCATATGTATGCACAAACCAAAAGGTTTGAACATTTTAAATTTATCTGAAAATGCGAAAATTCTCGGAAACCCCTACTTGTCAATCCCAAGGTGATTCAACTGAAATATTCAGTGATATCTTCTTAGTGCGAACACACTGTACATACATATATATATATATATATATATTTATATATTATTTTTTAACATTAAATTCCAAATTTTAGTTTTATATTAATACTTGAGAGTGTATATTATTATTACTATTATTAGAATTATTTTAAATAAATTTCATTTTCTCAAAGAAAATGGTACATGGCGCTTGTTAAAATATTGTTAATGCTAAATTTAAAATATTCACTTAATCTTTTTGTCAAATATTGAATTACTGATCTAGAAAATAACGTTCCCTATGTCTAATATATATTTTACTATATGATGGGTACTAATTTGAAAAAGGTTTTTTTTTGTTTATAATATTTTTTAGATTTAATTAATAGGTATTGGGTTATTATTGAAAATCTGATTATTAAGTCGTATCCTAGAAATATGCTCTAGGGCATGCATTCAGAAAATGTATGGTTATGATATTCTTAACGAATACTATAATATGCCTATAAGTGAACCATAACTGAAGGATTGGTTTGACGTATGGCATAGGCATTAGTATTTCATTACATATGATAAATCGAATGATATCCGAGTAACGTGTTTAATGCACAAATAGAAATCATATTATACACACACAGACAAATCTACAAAACAACAACTATGGCTACGTGTGCGTATAGACGAATGTTGGGCTTTGTTAATCTCTATACACAATTTATGTACGCGCATAATTTCCCTGTTGCGACGGAGAGATGCACGTGGACCCATGAGACACAGAACTACGACTACTATATATGTTTTTATACCATTTGTCTAGGGATTATCGCGTTTAGATACGAAACACACACACACGCGCGCGCGTAAACATATACATTTAAGAGAAAAAGGAAATGCCGTTCTTACCAAGCGTATATAGTAAGAGTATTACACCGTCAACTTGGCTTCCGTCGTATGCATTTAGTATATGTAAACTGCATGTTATTATTACGGAAGCTTATTTTCATTACGATTTATGTGCATTTCTCACGACGCGTGCAGGATGTTACGTACACTCGCACTTTTTTCCAACGCGCAGTCGTTTATTTTCGTCACCATGGTACTAGAACAACTCTGCTCTAGAGAGACGTGAACCATTTGTTTGGGATTATAGAGTAATATTTATGTATAGGAAAATACATGGTACACGCACACACGCACACTCAACGAATCGTATGCAATCCAAAAGAGAATCCATTAGTGTTTTACTTATAGGTGTATAATGTTGAAAACTATGTGTTATTATAAATAATTTGTTTGAATTAATGTATTAATTAATTAACACAAAATTAACATAATTAACATGATTTAAACAAATTTATTTTATGGTGTTACCTATAACGCAATACGATAGATTTTATTTATATTTAATTCATAATTTTTTATTTTTTAAACCTTTTATGAAGTAAAATTAGTAAACAAATAAATATATTTAAAAGCATTTTACATGCAAGCAAGGATTATTTATTAATCATTATATCCATTGATAATTAGATATCAGAACGATAATTCTATTTTTTCGATAGGTTTTTTCTATTTGTAGCCAAATATCGATAATTAAATAACATAACTACCGACATAAATGTTACCCAAATAGAATCTTTGTATTACTTTCCATCGATAAACAGTGATTTCCGGATAAAATTTAATTGCCGAGGTAAAATCGAATGATACATTTTTTGCTTCATAATATGTCTGAAAAATAATATTCAATAAATATTTTAGGATAATTTTTTATTTTTAAATTTCATTAAACTAATGTACCTAGTAAAATTAACTTAGTTTTTATTTTATTTTAATTAAAATAGAACGCGTAACGTATTTCAGAAATTCTGTGAATTAATACACAAAATATTATTAGTATTGTTATTATAATGACATAAAATTATTATTTAAATGGCTTAATACTTATCAATAATGCATTTTATAATGGGAATATAGTACTACAAATTAATTTTTTTATCATTTCATATAAACTAAAGAAAAAATATGTTTACTTGATTTAATGGACAAGTCAGTGATGGACGATAAGCACCATACCAAGAATTCTACATTAGGTTTTTGTCTTTAATTATTTAGCAGAGATCGTTTAACGTACACGATTGAAAGTACTCGCAATCAAAACCATGTAGTTTACAACGATGAAAAAATATAATTGCCCAATAACTAGTGTATAATGACTAGTTTTTTGGTGCCGTTTTATTATCGAAATTGTTATTAATAAATGTACGTGTTTTAAGTCTCATATAATATTCTCGACAAAAATATATTTAGTTCATAATTCCATATGCTAAATGATAGGTATCTAATCGAAATATAATGGATGCTGAATCGTGGTATGATAAAAAATATAATATTTTGTGATTTGAATTATAATCGAAGGTTTGCTATTTAATTTTTATTATCGTTTTAAGTAATCTTTTTTTTTTTGTTATTATAAATGTGGCAATTTTATTTTATTTGAGTTGTTGATTTGCAAAAATGATACATAGGTAGTTTTTGAATTGAAATACTAGTTATTTTTTTGTTACATCATAGTTATAATATTACAATTCCAACAAGCGTTTAACTTATTGATTAAGATCTCAAGGTCACCAAATTCAAAAAAGATTATGAATAGTGTACATAAATACATAATTATACGTGAAAAAGAAAAAAGAAAGTATTTTGCAATTTGTATTATTATTCATTATTTGTTTCATTATTGTTTTAGTTATTAAATCTTGTTATTATTTTAAATGTGAAACGGGAATTATATTGATTTTTTAATGCTTTTCACGATTTCTGTGTAGATATGTACTTTCGATCAGAAAGTTCAACCAGATTTTTCATGTTTTTAATTTTCAATTATAATAATAATTTTTAAATAGTATAATTAATTAAATAAGCCCTCATGAAAGTGAATCATAATAAAATAATGCCGTTATATTTAGTTACACATATTTGGGTAAAATATGAAAAATGTCCGAGACACCTAGGTCGGGTAAGGTACAGGGATAGTATTTGTATTGGTATTGGTATTTTAATCTTGAAACCAATATTACGTTAGTGTCGAAAAACTATTTTTAGTGAAAGAGTTTATATTCCTAAAGATATTTGATATAATGAAATTTCTTAAAAGGAAGAACTATTAATAATAACGC